TTTTGCACTGCACTTCAAACATGGTAGATAAAAGTTTTACATATGCTCTAGACAATCATCTCTGCTTGGATGTGGTGAAATACAGAGACTTGTTGAGGATCACTGTACCATGAAAGATTTAAATCCTAAAATGATTTAGCTCACATCTGTTACCTAAAGATAAAGGCAACCAAAGCACACTTTGGTCACATCGACATTAGCGCAATCATTTCAGTTTTTTTAATGACAAATGAGACATTTGTCACATTATGCAGCTCTGTGGTTTTCAAGATTTGTATATATTTTTTTAAAATGCAATCCATTTGCAAGACTAGAGGGAGACTGGTTCAAACGTTCCACATTACTACAATTTATCTGGAAACCTGTCGACGTGATTATAAAGCATGAGCAGCATTTTTATTTAAATATTCATAGTCAATGAAGTATGTTGCAGATGTGAATAGCAGACATTTTGGTTTTTCTGCATACAGAGCTAATTTGAGATTGCCTAGCTGCAGAAATTGCCATCTACATGTTTTGTGTTGGCAAAAAAAACCTGTCGCTCTGGATTATTAGTTGCACCAGCCATAAAATGCATAATAAAGAAGGAAAATGCATATATAAGTCACACTGGAGAGTAAGTCGCATTTTTGAGAGAAATTTATTTGATAAAATCCAACACCAAGAACAGACATGTTATCTTGAAAGACAATAAAAATAGAATAGAGGCAACAACAGGCTGAATAATTGTACGATATGCTAACGTTACATGACACATGAACAAGGAACTGAGAACGTGTCTGGTAAATTAACATAACATATCAAGAGTTATTCAGATAACTATAGCATAAATAACATGCTAACAATTTTACCAAACCATCTCCAAATCACTAGACGCAATGAAATCTTTCTCCTCAGTGTCGCTTTTAAACAACTCCGTTAACTCCGGAAGTAGAACACAGGCCTAGAGCGCCCTGTTGCGGTTTACTGGGAAAGTAACATGTTATGTGATATAATGATGTGTTAATTTCCACACATAAGTCGCTCCAGAGTATAAGTCACACCCTTGGCCAAACTGAAAAAAATACTGTGACTCATAGTCTGGAAAATATGGTAAATGGAAATTTCTATTGTTTCTATTTCTATTGTCTGTATGAAGGTTTGTCACTCTGAGGAAGTATACCAATGATCCAATTGAAAAGAACACCATTTTTATTTTCAGTATTTACTGTAGAAGTAACAAATGCTTTTTCCTTTGATCTTTTTATAACAGACTTCAGTTTTTATGCTGAAAATGCTTATTTGTTGGTGTGCCTTTATTGTATTTGCGTAATGCGAGGTCCCGGTCCTGCGAGATATGTAAAACATACTTGAATAATATTTTGTTACTGAAACAGATACTGTTGCTGAAAGTTCAGATAGTGATTCACCCCATTTCTTGACTGCCTTCTACACAGTGGAAAAGTAATTGAACTTTTCCACTGTGCCACTAAAAAAAGTCTGTCCAACCTGCTGAAAATATTTGCATACAAACTCTGCATTTATGGCTACCAAATATTTCCAGTCAATGTTTTGAATTGCAATACTGCATGCAATGGCATTGTGGTGTCTCTTACAAGTTGAGCCACTTTTTCCCTTACTGTATGAAAGACTGCTAAATTAATAAAAAAAAAAAAAAATCCTGGAAAGTGGCATTCCCACAGTTTATGGCCTGATTTTGTAAATGTGTGAAGACCCTCACCACTTATCACACCCCAAAAATTACTGCCTTGATAACACATGTTTGCAAATGCCTACAAATTTCACTAAAATGTTAAGGTCCCTCTGTATTAAGATAAGTACAGATGTACATGAGGAAATGTTTTCAGCTTTATGCCTCCCACACTCGAGGCTTCACACTTTGAGCTGAGCTTTAATATTTAACATTTTGTATCTAGAGCAATGGGTACATCTGTTTGAATATTTCATATAACAGCTAAGAGCTTTGTTGTAAATGCTAAGAACAAACATTAAAATGGTATAATTTTAAATGCCAGTCACCTGAAAATATTTCCCCAGGTGGAATTCATTGTGAAGCCATGTTTTCATCTGCAAATTTCAGTAAATATGATCTTTTTCATATGACATTCCATGGGAAAACTTTCAATGGAGCTATGTTCAGAATTATTTTTTTTATGATGAAGCAAATGTGGGTTGGTATGTGAAGACTTGAGAAATTTTTTTTCTTTTTCCATTCTCTTGGTGCTGTCAGTCATCCTTGTGTACACACTGCTCAATATGCTAAGAGCAGAGAAACAACTTACGATTAAAGAAAAACTATCTGCTGTCATTGGTGGTCATTCTTTCTAGACTGCACATTCATGGTATTCTCTTTTGTGGGAAAGGAGGTGTAGCATGTTGTACTGCTATGACATAGTGATAGACATAAAAAAATATTTAAAAAAAAAATGTATGTTACATAGTGCAGCTCTAACACAAAATTAGTTGGAATTTAAGCTGCAAATTCCAGCAGCTTAAAAATGGTAAGCAGACATTTGTTTAGTTGTTAGTATCCAAAGAAAAGTGTTGACATGACTAAAAACAAACGTATCTTTTTTTTTTTCCACATTTCATGGTATTTTTTAGGTATTTTGATTAGGATTGTTGGTTTTTGCCTGTTCACTTGGCAAAAGCTGTTTTCTGTGCTTGAGTAAAGAAAATCAATTGGTGTTTGAGTTATGACAGGCTGACATTTTCATCACTTCTAACCTCCAAGCTGAAAGGACTGGAAGTTTGAGACCAACAACTTTAAAGCAACTACTATATAAAGGCTTTAAATTTGGCTCTGCTCAATGTGCACAAAACATCCCACTGAATGTATTTTACTTTTAAATTGTCAGAAATCTCTTTATGAAGTCGATTTTGGACACATGTCGCTGCTTTGTGTTTCTTCAAAAAGTAATCAGTGTTTCTAACATTTTGATGCATTTAATTTCTGGCCTCTTAATTCACAGAGACCTCTGCAATTTGCTTCCCTTGAGATGAAGTTGTGCTTGTTTGTAGATGGATGCTGTTCAGTCACAGGCAGAAATGTTCTAAGGATACTTTGAAGACAGAGTTCACTAATGCAGCATAATACTGTCTTGACTCCAAAACGGATCTTATTTTACTCAGTTTTAGAAGTTTATTTTTATGGCCCCTTATTGGTTACTTTTTGTAGTAAATATGGGAGTTGAGGGAGGGTTCATCCGCATGTTGCATGGAAGTTAAATTACAATGGCATTTTTATGAGGCTCACAAAGGTTATTTCATGGCTGATTTGCTGGTTTTCTGATTTTGACTTTTTGATAAATCACTTAAATGATGTTACATTAGCACATGAGTTTATCGTACAAGAGCTTTGAGTACACCTTCTGGTTTGTAGTATTACACAAAATTTTAAATTCAAATGTACATTATTAAAGGGTTTCTTTAATGATGTACATTGAGCAGAAAACTTAAGTGCAGTGGCAGGGTAGGGCAGATCACCAGCGGCCCACTGCATTTTGTTAGAAAATGTGAAAAATTGACAGGAGACTTGAAATTAAGACTAGGTTATTACGTAGAAGATGTTATCGACAGCTATTAAACACCAACTATTTAAAGGCAAATGCAAAATTGATAAAATAAATACCAATTAATCAGATCATGAATCTTGCAACAAGTGATGTAATGGCTGTCACATTTAAAAGTAAAAGAAATGTAACCTACTATTAACAAAGAGTAAGTGTATTTATATGCTTAACTAAATATAAGGCACAAAATTCAAGTGTTTGAAGATGTCTTGTGATTTTCTAAATCTTTATCTGATCAGGTTCTGGTTTGCTGGTTGTGATTGGTAACTTATTCAAGCGAAAGGCAGTATTTGGATGAGAGACTTGTCTGACTGCTAGTGTGGTTCATGTACATCGGCTCTATGTAGTTAAAAGCACAGGCATGGCAAAGTACATGCCACTTATTTGACAAACATGGCAGAAATATGACGCGCATTATTCTTTCTTTACAAAGATGTATGCGCTTGAATCTGTCTCACCGTTCGCTCAACAGAAACCTCTGAGCATTTAGCCTTCATAGATGCTCTTTGAGGCTTTTGTTGAGCGTGAGCTGAGCAAGCGTTTAGCCTTTTATACTTAGTGTACATGGGTACAGTACTCTGAAAAGGCAGTAGTCATAGAGGGATCATATAAATACTGCTAGAGGTGAACCTGCTCTGCAAGAGCACTGCAAGTAGTCTGGCAGTCCAGCATGCTGATAATAAACTGGGGTAAACATTTAGTTGCTTTTATTTAAAACAGAAAAGCAACTGTTATTCCTATTGCTGATAATATGATTATTTACTAACTCACATTTTCTGATGCATAAACTTAAGGCAGACTATAAGCTCACCAAGCTTATTGGTTTCCACTAAAGCAGCTTTTTACACCTTCTTGTCTTATGCTGTTTGAGTAAAATGAGAATTAATAGGTTATTTAAGTTATCTATGTCAGTAGAGCATACAGTTATCTGTATGACAAGGTCTTAGCTTTCAAACCATGAATTTAAAATGGCATTACCTTTATTAGTGATTGGAACTCTGGTTTCCTCATGACTATTGGTGTTTTACCAGTGATGATTCAGTTGTGCTCTGAATGTCTGCAAATTAGAGATATATATGTGCAGATGTTGAAATGTTTGTCAAATCACCATTGAATTAGTTTTTTTTTTATGTGCTTCAGTGTGCTCTTTGTAGAAAGCAGATCACTTGTCTTTTGTCCATGCTGTTGTTGAAATCAGATTTTTCTTAGTTAAAAACATTTGACATCTTAAGGCAGGTCTTGCATAACTTCTGACTGACTTAAACATTGTTTTTCTTATTGAAGTGTATGTGCATGGACTGCCTGTAATAAAATGGCCTTCTCAGTCAACCTTCCTACAATAATCATGTTTTATTTATTTATTTGGTTTTGGGTTTTTTTTACCCTTGTTTCTCTAACGTGACATACTTTTTGTGTCCACATTTTCAGACGACAACTCCGAACTAACATGGCAGTCAGACTGTGCGATGTGGCTTCTCTGCTTAGAAGTGGTTCGTGGGCGCCTGAGCCTTGGACTGGGGTCTGTGGCCATTTTTCACATCTTGAAATCATTTGGCCAAAAGGTCATTTTTGCTTTCTGCTCAGGCCATACCAATGATATTGGCATTGTTGTATTCTGATGTTCAAACCAAAGTATTTCTGCTTAAATTTTGGGGAAATTTCTCACTGTTGGGGTTGAAACTTCCTTAAAGGTCAATGTTTTGAATTGGTATGGTCTCAACCTTTGTCCCACTCTTTTCAATTTATATTTGTATGTTTTATGTTTAAAGAGAAATATATATTTTTTTGTAACTATGCAGATCAACTTTCTGCACATGGTGAATTTGTTAATAAAGGATGACTCTTCATACATAAACATGTTGCAGGCTGTCTCGCTGATCATGCAAAGGCGTTGTGTCCGGTAGTAGTAATACGATGCTGCTTATAGCTATATTTATTTAATTGTGCTGAATGTTTTTCTTTTTGTTATAAATTTTTATATGAGAAAGTCTCATAAGGGCCTTTTTTTTTAAACCAGCAACAAAAATTCTCTTGTGAAATTGTCAAGATCCTTTTTTTTTAAGATATGCAATTGTTCTGTACTGAATGTCGCACCTTCTTTTTAAAATATAATGCACAATAGTCATTCTGACATATAAATTTGGTCAATGCCAATCAGCCAATATTTGTTGTACTTCAACAAATCATTATCTTGACGTGTGAAGAGCTTCCTTTCTTAACTGTTTTATTACCAATATCAGTGATAGTATTATTTACATAATTTTCCTTCTCTCTTTAGCAGGTAATTGCGACCATGGAAACACAGCTGTCCAATGGGCCAACGTGCAACAACACGAGCAATGGTCCCTCGACTATTTCAAACAACTGTTCTTCACCAGTAGAGTCGGGGAGCATAGAGGACAGTAAAACTAACTTGATAGTCAACTATCTGCCTCAGAACATGACCCAGGAGGAGCTGAAGAGTTTGTTTGGAAGTATTGGAGAAATCGAATCCTGCAAACTAGTTCGAGACAAAATAACAGGTAATGTCTGTTTTCTAGTGCACCCTTGTTTTATTTATTTTTTGCTGGGAAGCTTTACTGTATGTTTTTATACACTTGGGACATTTAAAGAGGACCAATTATGCAAAATTCACATTTTGCATGTTCTGTACTTCTATTCAGATCTCTGTATTAAGTCTGCTAAGACACTAAAAAAATGTGTAGTGTCTGGAAAAGGAGTTTCTTTCAAAAATCTCTCGATTAAGTCACAATTGATTCCCACTGTGCCATTGCCTAGCAACTCCAGCTGAGACTAGCCACTCGCCTTGCAACCCAAGCGGAGTTTGAGCACATTTGGTCAGCCGGTTTTCCTACTGTACGTACTGCTGAATAACTGCTGGAAAAGACAAATGTTTAGTAGTGGACTTTTTATCCAGAAACTGCTACTGCATTCTTGTCAGTCATGAAGAAGGTTTAGCTACTTCTGTTTTTGGATCTGATTCAGGGTCAAAGATGTACAGTTGTATAATAGGACATCAGTTTGCAGCCGTTTTTCTTTGTACATTTAACTTGACTTCTGTAAACTGTTAAATTCCACTTTCATTTGTAAGTTGCTTTCATGTGGTTTTACCTTCTCTAAGTAGCCTGGATGTTAACTTTGAGCAAGATTTACACTGGCATCAAAGTAATGTTTTTTTCACCCTAGGAAACACTTGGCTTGTTGGATTTATATTTTACATTTAAAAGGGATAAACAGGTGGTGTCATGCAACACAAACAATCCTCAATGGTCTTTGCTGGATCTTTGCTGCTAGGCCACCCTCAAAGATTTTGGTGCAGGAATTTCTGTTGCTGTTGAATGTGTTGTAATTTTGAATTTATGGCCAGTCTGGAACCCAACACTATGTTTACCAACGCGTACCATTTTTTAAAAATTCCCTTTTTTACTTCAAGACTTGAATTGACTTGGGAATAATTAGCAGCTTCATATTATTCAAAGCCTCAAAGTAAAATTTCTCTGGATTGGTGCTCTGAATTTAGCTCTACTTAAAACCCTCTATCCCCTTCAGACTGTTGCTTTTGTCTCTCCCTTGGCCCTGTGGCGACAGCTTTAAGCCAGCCTACATCTGTGTACGGGTGCTACATCAGATGTTTAGTAATCACCAGAGATGTGTGTTTCCTCTTTTCTTTAAATGTTCATGCTTTGGATGGCTCAGTCATTTTGTAAATTTTTTTCTCCTACTGTGAGTAACTAACATTTTACTCAAAACTGGGTGTTTGAAAGATTATCTTAGCAAGTCTCCTCTTTACTTTAGCGACAGCTAAAGATTGGTCAATGGTTTGTTTTAATGCTTCTTAGTTATGAAAAGATGATATGGGTGTTTATTTCCCGAAACAAATCGGTTCAGTAAAGGCTTAACGTGTACATTACAACATGCCCTGCAGGTTTAAATGAAAGTGTCATTTTGCTCATTTGAAAGGCTCTATGCATTTCTGTTGGCTATATTGAATCCAGCCTTGAAAGGTGAAATTAAGTTCATGAACTTGATAACGGAAATGAAATAAAGTATGAATGAGATACTTAAAGCAACTTGATACATTAACATTAGTTTCCTGTTTAGTGTCTGAGGTACGCTTTTTAATTGGAACAATATGTTGAATGTCTATTTTGTTTTTTCATTCTTCATGAGAACCCAAAACTTTGGTTTTTACTTTACTTTGTGTGAACTTGTGCTAAAATTGCAGAAAATCTTAAGTTATATCTCTTACAGGTTAAGTTTCCATTTTGTTCCAATACTTTGACAGCATTACAAACAGACTGTGGAAAAGCATTTCAGTGTTGGTTACTCCTGCTTCAATATACACTTGTAAATATTATGCACTTACAGTTATGTAATTGGAGATAGGTTTATGCAGGTCAATATCACAAAGGAAAGTACTGGGAAGAAGGAATGGCTCAGCCACTTGAAGTATGTCAGGAAGAAAAAAGTTCCACATACTGCATTTGTGCTGGGATAAACTAATAATAAATTGGAATGCAAGATTATCAGGTGGCCTTGAAAACCTTAAATTATGATTTTATTTTTTTCTGTTAATACAAGTTGCCTGCCTTAGTTTCTGGATTTTATTCCTCGTTAGTTTCTAGAGCATAAAATGGGAATTTATGAAAATAGAAGACTTTGTAAAAAAAATTTCCCTTCAGTTGGCTGTATTTGGGATAGAGCCTCGGATAATAATTATCCCCTCATTGACTTCTATATAAACTCTGTTCTGCTAAAGCATCAAATTGCCTCCAATTTAGCATTTTCATAATGTAAATAAAATCTAAATATCTCAACCCCTCTAGAGTATTTTCTAAAATCTGTACTTTGTGTAATGTACTCTAGTCCTAATTTGAGAAACTTAGAGATTTTGAATCGGATCATCCAAGTTGGTCCAGATGCCAAATAAGGAGTGATCATGTGACTCAGTGAGCTGTCAGGTGACTGGGAACATATCCCAGTGGTATACCTGCAGTGTAGATGGAGGTTTTTCCCCTGTGCCAGCAGGTGACTTCAATGTTGGATGCTGTGATGATGTGTTCTGTGATCCTTGGTCATATTTTATAATAGAAAGTGTTGAATAATCCATTATTGAGGGAGAAGCATTTTGACTATATCTATGCCCTCAGTTCAGGTTCAAGCAAACCTCCATATTTCTTTGTAGCTGGCTCCGTGATCTGCTGCTTTACGAAGGCTACAATTAAAGTATCTTGAAGACAGTTGGACTTTTTGTGCATTGATTATTCACTTGATGTGCATTTGTAGACTAAATGTTGATGTAACTAATTATTGTTACATCAACCTATTATCATAGGTATACCATTTTATTTTATTTTTTGCAGAAGTTGTAGCAGTATTTTGTATTTTGACTTATAAGAAGAGATTAAAAGCACATGTTATTTTACACTCATGGTAAAATTTTCAGGCTTCTCTTGCTATGTATAAAATCTTTCTTGAAATTGTTTATTTTCACTAGTTTAATAGTGAGCTGTTAAACTAGCTGGTTTATTGATCTACTGTGAAGACTGCAGTGTAATTTTATGTTGTTGCTTTTATGTGTAGTTGTTTTTAAGTACATGATTTGCATTTTTATATAATTCATTTATCTTTCTTTGCGGGAAGTTATTGAATATCTCCAAACAACGGCTCTCCACTTTGGATGGTTCATTCTGCTGAATGGATTTAGGGTTAAATTTTTTGCCTGGCAGAAAGAATGGTTGCGTTTTTTTCAGGAGAAACTTTTATAATAGAAAAACTGACAAAGGGTAAAAGTTCTCAGCCTGGTAGAATGGGAACATCTGGTGAGAGTGGAAAATCCTGGGGAGGTTCAACAATCAAATTTTAATAGTCCTTATCTTCTCAACCAGGGATCCAAGATTTTTTTTTTTTTTTTTTTAAACTGATGCCAATGGGCAATGCTGAGTTGATCACAAAATACACTCCCACTCAGTTTGACTTGCCCAAAACCATCCTGTTAGTGCACTAAGGACCTGTGGAAGCTGTCTCATATGTGCTTGGCTCTGGAAAGGACTTTCACTGCCAGACACCTCTCCAAATGTCTTGTTGATACGATTTGGGAGAAATAGGTGGGCGAGGAGGTCTATTGTTTCTGTGTCAGACTGTGCACGGCACCCTGGTGTGCATTTTCTCCTTTTTTCCCCTCTTGTGGTTGCAAACTTAACAAAGGACCCAGGAGGGAGTATGTCAGTTGCAGAGTAATCAAATGGCAGCTTAAGATCCAGACCCATTTCGGAATCTTGGCTCGAGAAATGTTATCACGCTGAAAACTTGAAAGAAAAAAAGTTCACATGAAAATATAAATGTTTTAGGAGTTAACTGTCTGTGGAGTTATTTCACAGTATAGCAGAATGGATGAGTGAGCAGGTATTAATCACGCTCTGGGATTGAAAGCACAATACAGCTGTGTGGTTTTAACCAGTGACTCAAACTTTGTTTCCACTTTGCTTGTGGTGTTGGTTTAAGAGTGTAGTTATGTCCTGCTTTTAGCACAGAGATTACATCCACTGACATTTCCCCTTTGACATTTAAAAAGTCGATCCCTTAGATCTTGGCATGCAGGGTAATAGTTGACAGGTTAAAAAAATAAACTGGGGCACCTCAATGCTGGAGTGATTTCAGATTTAAGTTTGCACAATAGCCTATCAGTGTGAGCAATATTCATAGTGCAACAGGCTGTTTGGAGTACAATAATTGTTAGCTAATGTATTCAAAGACTTATGAACGTGCATTCTCACAGCAGTACGAACAAGTGACATTGTCCAAAATGCAAAAGGCCACAGAGTGATGGACACACGGATGAGAAATGAAGGAAAGAAGAAATCTCATGGTTATTTCAATATCTGTAGATAGTTGCCATTGCAACATTTTTTTTTCAAAAATCGGGCAGCTCTAGTTTGTGTTTGTGCATTGTGGGGGGTTGAGTTATTGTGCTGTTTGAGATGAGCTGAATAAATTAAAATATTTCTTTGTTGTCCATTGTAACACAAAACATTTTGGTTGTTGAGCATATTTGAGATTCCTACCAGTTTTTCAAGCAGATCATTTAAAAATTGACTTCTGACCTGAATAACTATATAACCTGACAAAGATAACGCTGTTCTCTGCAACTTACCTCAGTCTGTTGGCTTCCATAAAATGGCATTGGATCTTTTTCTACAATTGCATTCACCCATGGTTCATAAGTCATTGTTTCCACATTATGTTCAAATGTCAGTCTTTGTAATGGCTTTCTTTTTTCTTACCCAGTTTTACACTTTGAGTCTGAAATGTTTTATTTCTGTGTTTTGCAGGGCAGAGCCTAGGCTATGGATTTGTCAATTATGTGGATCCTAAAGATGCAGAAAAAGCCATCAATACCTTAAACGGCTTGAGACTTCAGACTAAAACCATCAAGGTAAGTCATCAAGGTATAAAAGAACTCCTCCAGTGTGTGTTGCTCATCTCTGCTGAGTTGAGCCGAGGCATTATAATGCTGGAGCAATGTGGGGCAGTAAGGGAGCCTATTGTTAATCTGGGCACAGACGGCTTTGCTTGGGCATCAAGTAGAGCAGAACTGTTTCTATGGTTGCATGTGAACTAGCTCTGCTGTATGCCTTTACAGGGAGGCAGCTGCCATTAGCATTCATCATACAACATGACACTCAACATGCTTGTGGGGGGAAAACTCATTTGCTCTATGTAGTTCTTTTGGAATGTGGACAGCAGAGTAAGCTTACTCATTTTTATTTTTATTTTTTTTTACTGAAGTAAATCTTTTGTGACTTTTGCTTGAAAAAACTGTAAGTTGCTTTATTTTTTTGTTTCAGCTTTAAAAAATTGGTATCGCTGTGGCATAATAGAAACCATATTGCTTTGTTTTCACAAGCAGAGCAGTCACATTTTTTCATCTTCCAGTTTGTGTCCCTGAAAGTAGGACATGGTAATGTTTCTTTGTGTCTCACGTCTAAAGTTCTCTTGCTGCACCTCAGATGTGCAAATAAACCGTAGTCTGCTGAAAGAATACCCTCTCTGTGCATTTGCATCAAATAAAGTGTGAAGGTGAGGCTGATGGAGGCAGAGGTGAAAGGACAGTGTATTTTGGATCTGGTCATGAAGCTGCAGCTTTTACACTTTTTGCATTTGTGTCAGTGCAGATTTTGAGGTGTGCTCATCAAATGCTTTGACTCTGTTCTCCTATCATAAAAGGAGGCATTTTACACTATTACTTCATTAAAACGGAATGCAGAATAGCTGCACCACTCAGTTTCAGTGTAATCAAATTGGTCCTGTCTAACATTCTTAAAATGTAAAATAAAGCATTTGAACTGGATACGTTCCTCGCCACTTATTGGTTAAATGTCTGCTTGCCTGAAAAAAGAGCTGGAGAACCGAAGCATCATGAGTTGGACTACTGAAGGGTATAATGACATATTGATTGGTGAGGCATTTTTGCTTACTTGTCAGTTAATGGATAAATGTGTTTGTAATGCACTATTAATTGATTGCTACTCGCAATTGAGATAAGTCATGACTTTGGAAAGAAATGGATGATATTGGTCATAAAGAACTGCCATGTTAAAATGTAATTTTAAAAACTGCAATTATTGCTTTTGGATCTTGAAAGCATATTTTCTTTTTAAAATTATGTTAAATGCTGTTAATTTAATAAAGATTAGATTGATTTGACCATTGCTCAGTAGAAGTGGCCCAAATTGTTTACTTTTGACTCAAAGGTACATTTCTAGTGATTCCCTAAGCAGTTGATCTGATGACTGTTTGTAATTCTTTCTAAACAAAGAACATATAAAATGCTAGTGTTCAAAATTACAGGTGTTTTCAAAAATGAAGTCCAAAATGTTAAATATCTTTGAAGTTATTTAAAGAATATTTTCTGACAAATAATACTTAAGTATCACCTTTGACAGGTAAAAAATATAGTAGTAAAAGCATGATCTTTTGTACCAAATAGCCAAAACGGCAGCACCCTCTGAAGTCTAACTGTAGGTCTTGGTAACTTGAATGAAAGCCTAACAATGACATCTGCAGCATCTATTTCAACAACTGTGGCCTGGCACCTTGTTGTTTATAGGTCAGAAAAAAAAAAAAAAAATTCTAATTTCTCAAGGATTGATCTAGCTGAAAAGCTTGTGATTCTAGTCTCTAACCAAATTCTCCATTTCTAATATTAGCTTGTTGGTTGGACTTTCACTGTAATTGATTTCCAGAACAGAAATAGATTTTTGTGACAGATACTAAACAAGTCATAATAATAAAAAAAAAAACACAATAAGAAAATAGACAATGTTGCTTAACTATAACTTATGTCACATTCACAATATTTAGTTGTATTATAGCAATTGTGAGTCAACCTAATATTGTGCAGTATAGCTTTGTTTTGTAGCTGTCATTTTTCTTCACTTGGCAATTGATGGTGAAAAGCAGTTGATTTATGATAGTTGTTAATTTTAATTCACCTTCCTGAAACTGCAGTGTAATAAAGGAATTTTAAATGAGGCTTTGCTTCAAAACGGTATCCAATGCTTTTCAATTGAGTTTTGCATTTGTTAAACTGTCATTGAGTTGAAAATGGGTTTAATAACTGGCTTAGCAGGCTAAAACATTTTGGAGAGTTTAAATTGGTTTAAAAGTTCTAGTTGTTTCTCTGGTTCTAGTGACTGAATAGGATGCAGGTAAATGTTATCAGCTCTTTGCTTTGAAGGTGTCCCCTTCTACAATTGAATATCAAAGGTGACTAGCAGCCTACCCAGTTGGTAGGCAGTCTATAATGAGTTAATCACCAGGTGCTGCTGTGATGTTTATCTTGTGGTGTTCATGTAAGCTTTCCTACTGCAGGTTTCCTACGCGCGCCCAAGCTCCGCTTCCATCAGAGATGCAAATTTGTACGTCAGTGGCTTACCAAAAACCATGACGCAGAAAGAACTTGAACAGCTCTTCTCTCAGTACGGACGAATTATTACCTCGCGTATCCTGGTGGACCAGGTGACCGGTGAGTAGAATAGGACTACCTCCCCCTGTGTTTTTTAAGTTTTGCATTTTTTTTCCTTTTGGCTTCTCCCTTTGGGGATACTGAATCAAAAGACACGGCCTGAGCTGAGAAATGCATCAGAGGTGCTGGTGTGAGACTCTTCCCCAAAATGCAATTTTCCACTAGAGCTGTTTATAAATATGCATCGACAGAATATGAAAGTGGTGGCTGTAAAGTAGCAGGAGTCAGTGCTTTAAATTTTCTTTCCACTTCAGCCTCTTCTCTTCACATTTCCCTTTAAATTTTTGGATTCCATTCTCCGAGGTCTGCTTAAGTTTCTCAGACATCATTTAAAAAGCAGAATCCTTATAAAAAGAAGACAAAATGGATCTGCTCATATTTATTCTTTATTTTTTTGTTTTGTTTTTCTCTCTCCCCATAGATGGGTGCAGAATCATTTTGCATTCATATTGGGCAACTTTATTCTTCAAAGAAATTACACATTCGAGGGCTGTTCACATGTTCTCCTTTGCAGGTTGTGCCATAAGTGAACTCAAACTTTTGGTGCCTTTTCTTAAAATTTGAGAGTCGGCGCTAATTCCTTTACATTCACACAAATTCTTGCTGAATTCACAAATTCACCAAGACAGTTCCTCTAAGATGCAAATTTAAGACAAAATTGTGATTAGACTCTTTCAACACATCACTCACTAAAGAGTGGGTGATGTGCTCCCTTCATATCAATATATATATTTTTCATGTAGATACATCTGTTTGTCAAATTATAACATGAGGAATGGGAAACTCCACTGTACATGAGCTGACAATGAAATGTAGATTTATTTTTTTTATTGCTATCAAGGCAAGCATGTAAAATTTGTAGTTTAAACGTCCTTTGGCTTAAGGGTTGTAGAAGTATTTGCTTAGCAGTAAATGCAAAATGAATAAATTAAAGATGTAACGGAAGTAAAAGAAACCCTAAAACAAATAAATTTTGCATGTGTACACTGGCAGCAGTAATCCCTGTTTCCATGAAATGGGGTTCTGGATGTATAACCTTTTTTTCTTGTCAAAGGTTAGTTCCCTAAGTTTTCTGCTCTCCTTAGGTGTTTCCAGGGGGGTCGGCTTCATCCGTTTTGACCGGCGAGTTGAGGCTGAGGAGGCAATCAAGGGTCTGAACTGTCAGAAGCCACCCGGTGCAACCGAACCCATTACAGTCAAGTTTGCAAACAACCCAAGCCAGAAGACCAGTCAGGCGCTGCTGTCTCAGCTGTATCAGTCTCCCAATCGAAGGTACCCAGGACCCCTCGCACAGCAGGCACAACGTTTCAGGTAAAAGGGACACATCTAAACAGAAGTAAATCTGATCAGAGACCACCTGAACGAATGATTCAACCCCATGATTACATTCACCACCATTCCCCCCCCCCTCATTTTTTATCTATTTTTTTTCAGACATAGAAAATCATGAATCCTGGGTTGATGTGTTAATTTAAAAACATTTTCAGCCCACTCACCATACTGATCTCTAAAGAGTTTCTTGTAACATGCTGCTAAAGCCCTTTTTAAAAGCTCTGTGTAAACTGAATGTCTGCTGTTGACTAAGCTGTGTAGGTTGATTATTGAAAAATAAGTACAGTCAGCAGGTTATTAAAGGTCATAATAGTACTGGGATTCCCTTGAATGGACCAACTGACTTTAATCATTGTATTGTCACCGTTTTTCGTCCGTCATCTTTTCAAAATGCATTATTTTCAGCAAAGCTTTGGACTTACTGAAATGTTTGTTCTGTTTTCTTTCAGGTTGGACAATTTGCTGAACATGGCTTATGGAGTCAAAAGGTAATCAGATTTTCTTTTGAAATCTGTTTTAATTGATCTTTAGGGATCACTGACCTAATGTGGGAGGGCTTATTTGTTGTGTAGGTAGTTGATGCTTCACAAGGTCTACCTGATTCTAAAAGGGATCGTTGACAGAATGCATGAACAGATACTGAGTGTAATTTATTCACAGAATTCAGTAGGAGTGAATATTAATATTTAAAGATGGTGAGTAAAACCAAAAGGTTGATTTGTGGAGTGAGAAGAGAAGCTCTAATGGGTACAATCAAAGGGACCCTGAATTGAAGTCTCTAAAAATTACCTGCTGCCCAATAAAACCAGCCGACTATCTTTTAGTACATCTGTAAACTCTGTTCAAAAGGTCCGAGTAAATTCTGTTGGTTATACATAAATAACCCAAAATTTCACACAGTTAGGGTGTTACACTTGCTGATAAAAACTGATGTTAAAATCTTGGCAGTACACTGCCATGGATGTAAGGGTGTCTATTGTGAGCGGGGGACTCTTCTTAAAAACTAGCCTTAAAAGCTATACCATTTGAAATGGCTATCTTCAGGATACCAGTCGCATAAAGATGGGATTCGTGTTACTAAACTGCACACAGTAACTGCTTTTAATCATATTATTGAATTATTTTACATTTGACATACAATTAACTGCCAGTGTTTTTTTGTATTATTATTACAAATTTAATAAATTAATTTTTTTTCTCAAATGTTACAATAATTTGTATCATTTGAGAACTCCTCACACAATTTTTACAAGAATGGGCCTTTTGCATAAGGCCTTGTGCATAAGGTCGCTGTTGGCAAATTTTTAATGCAATGCATCAGACAAAAAATGTATGTAAAAGTGTGCATGTTGCTGCGATTCCTTCATATGACCAAATTTGCGTGAAATGGTGAAGCTGCTGTGTAGATCGCCCTGTTCCCACCCGTATACCTATGCAATACTCAGAAAGCTTCCACTTGGGCTGGGTGATGAGGCAATAGCTATTACAATGCACATGGCCAATATCAATAGAAAATATGTCTGAAATGGTTCACAGAATACACACGTTGTGCATAATTATCTGGGAGCAGTTTTCAGTTTTGACACTGCCACAAAATGAAAGAAAATGCAAAGCGGCATAAGAGAAAATTGTGGATAAAAGGAAAAGTCATGTAATTTAAAAAAAAAAAAATTATTCCCCCCCTTTGACTTAATTGTCCAAAATACTCTAAATCATCTAGTCACTGATGAGAAATGCTCAGATCATGATGCATTTTTGAGCCATATCGCCCAGCCCTTTGTCCCATCTCGTCTTCAAAGAAACATGGCAACAGTTCCAACAAAAAGTTTAAGTTCAGTTTTTAGTCAACTTTTGTTTTTGATGTACTATTACTGTTACAAAGATAAAATAGTGAAATGTTGCCATTTTTAAAATACATTAGCTACTGCTCAGACTTGCATAATTGCTTTCTGAAAATTTGAAATTTACCTTCATCAGTTCATACTCTAAAGTTTTTAGTGTTGTTTTTTTTATGGATGAATGTTTGAAAATCCAAAACCATTGACCTAACTGAAGGTTTTCTTAAAAAAAAAAAAAAAAGATTTTGTGGTATCAGATTGTTTTAATTACATTATTACTCAGTATTTGCATTGTATCTCACATATACTTCATCCCAAGATGGAGATTTATTACAAATAAAAGGCATTCTGGGATTGGTTTGAAGTCACTGTGAGGTTGGTGTGTGTAAGGATAAGCGTACATTAGAAACTGCACCATCGAAGTTTTCCCTCAAGTGCTCATTCAAACCGAGGCATGAAGAACCATGACACATGAAGGTCACATCTGGTTTACTGTGTTTACATCACAAAGACCTACATTTTGCAATCATCCCTGCTATTGCACAAAATTGCATACCTATATTTTGCGCTTCACTTTTCCTACCTTGATCTATTATGGACAGCCCTGTTCTGTTTAAACTTGGTTGCATCAGACACCTTTCAGGATTTGTCAGAGTATTGGTGTTGCTTCCTCAAGTGTGATTGAAGTCCAGCTTTCTGAAAGCTCAAAGGGCCATCAGCAGCAACAATACACTTGTGATTTCATGTCAGCATCGCTTCTCTGCGTACGTCTTCGTTGCCAAATCTATCTGTGGGTCCTTGATGCTGGGAGCACACCTGTCACAGTGGATGTTCCCTGAGAGGCCAACTGGAGCAGCTAATCCTGTGTGACACTTGCTGCAATAATTCATAGGCTTTCCAAGCACTCTGAATTTTGTTTCCCAAAACCACACTCACTAATGGCCAAGGCTTTTTTTTATGCCACTTATTTTTGGTCTGAGGAAAAACTTAAACTGTAATGCGATATGGATTTTCATTTATGCCGTGCCTTTGATTTCAAGGATTTTTTTTTTTAGGAATCACAGCTTGAAAAGCAGCTGTTTTACAACAAGTGTGGAAAGCTGTATTTTCTGGCTGATTTGTGAGATAAAGTATTGACTTGTATGAGATTCAGCCTGAAGAGCCTTGAGCAAAAAGGTCAGTTTAAGACTGTTGCAGTGTTGACCAAAAAATCCAATGAAAAGTTTGAAAAAGAAAAATAATCACAATTGAAATTCAAAACACAAATGCAACTTGTTTTATTGTTGCTTCTTAGGTCATATTTCTTTAAGATATTCAGGTAAATATAGATGAAAAGGCTTGTCTTTGGCTATCGAATAACATATCTTGAATTACTTGTCCATGAAAGTAATTCTACTTCAAGCATGAATTGGAGCTTTCTATGGCGATAGACGTGCTTATAAAATGTTATGTATAAAGATTAAAATTGGCAGCTGATGTTGCAGTACCACTAGTTTTATGAAAGCAAGTCGTGAAGAGGTTGCAAGGAATTTCTGACCATAGTCAGAATTATGCTACTTGAAGGGCCCTGAAACTGAGGATACACCAGTGACCTTCTCTCTGCTCCTATTTACCCCTGCATGGCCCTTTGAGCTTTGTTTTTGCAGATGGAGTTGCAAAGCTGAGATGCAATATGTAAAAGTTTAAAAAGTAATAAAAATGCTCATTTAATCTTTTGTTTGTGAAGGATGAAGCATCTTAAATTGTAAGGATATTTAAGTCCTTACAATTTTAATTTCATTTACATTAAAGGTCAAACTTTATGATATATCTAATTTCATAATTTCATTTGTGTGGACTTCTTTGCAATTACAAAGGACTTGGTTGATTATTTTGTTGTTGTTTGAATGTGCTGTCATAGTATGTTTATTGATGATGATGGACATGGTTTTTGTGGACCAGCAACAACCACTGTTGGTGGGGAATTGCATTTGTAGTTGATGGATATCCAATAATCTCTTACAGCCCAGCTGTTTAAAAATGCTACATTATTCCAGCTGCACTAAACATGTCCATCATATCAACAAAGAATCATTGTTGACTGCTTACTGGGAGTTGAGATCTCTTCAGAGCTGATCCTGAAAATCAGACCTCTTGGTCCATTGCAATTCATGTTCTATACTTAAGCTAAAATATAGGTCCACAATTTCAACTGTCTGGGTCCTCTTAAGAGGTAACAAGTGTTTTTGTAACATGTTGGTTTTTGTAACTAAAGGGTTTTTAAAGAAAAAGTGCAGGATGAGATTCCGACAGAACTTTGATGTTCACTTGGTTTTATAAGATTTCCATTTTATTATTCACAATCTAATGCACAGTCTCTTATAGAAAAGTAAGGTTTTGAATACTTTTTTTTTCTCTATTGCAATGAATGGTAAAAGCCGATAACTCAGGATGAAGGATGGATGGGGTGAACCCTGTAGACACTTGTCAGATTTGATTAACTGATCTTTGTTTAAACAGGCTGTTCTGGTTTTGCCTTGAACAATGTTTGGGATTTTTCTTTTTTGTTGTTTTTTTTCAGCCGGTTCTCCCCCATGGCCATTGACGGGGTGACCAGTCTGGCTGGCATCAACATCCCGGGGCACGCAGGGACCGGCTGGTGCATCTTCGTCTACAACTTGGCTCCAGATGCGGATGAAAGCATCCTGTGGCAGATGTTCGGGCCTTTCGGCGCCGTTACAAACGTCAAGGTCATCCGCGACTTCAACACAAACAAGTGCAAAGGATTTGGTTTTGTCACCATGACTAATTACGACGAGGCGGCCGTGGCCATTGCCAGCTTGAACGGATACCGCCTTGGGGACAGAGTTTTGCAAGTCTCGTTCAAAACCAACAAAACACACAAAGCCTAAAAAAACCCACTGAGATTGTTTCTAGAAAACTCACCAAGGGAAAAGAAAATGGAAGCATATTGACCGTAACTTTCTACATTAGTAAAACATCTTTGTAATCCATATTTAGAGTCCAACAATGTTTTTGTTTTTCCTCATTGCAACACTTTGAATCTTTTAATTAGTTTAAAGCATAAAAAAACCCAGCAGGATTTAAAACCTGACATTGAATCTCGCCGTCTTCACAGATGGATCACCTACAGGGTTACTACAGTTTTCTTGATTTTTCTTGCACATTACTTTTGATACCGTTAGTCTCGTAAGGTTATGTGTTGTGAATTTTCTTTGTGTCCTGATTTGCCATCGGTGCGTTACGCTTTGAGTGGTTAACAAGTACTTATTTTGAGCAGTTTCTGTTAGTTTATTGTACTGAGTTGGTAATTGGTTGGCTGCATAATGTTGCTTCTTGTAAACCTAACGGATAAAAAGACAAAAAAAATTCTTAAAGCAGTACCTTGCCAAAGAGCTAAGAACCTCTTTGATGTGGGTTTAAAAAAAAAAGCATCTATTTTTATAAAAGAAAAATTTGGAGAAACTTTTTACTGGACCTGGAACAAAATATTTTGACTTGGATACTTTGAGAAATATCTTCATATGACACCTTGCGAGCTTTTGAACTTTAAATGGAAAGTTTGCAGTGGTTGATGTTTCTGGAGAGATTTATGATGTAAAAGATACCTTTTGAGATCTTTGTATTACCTTTAGATTACAGAATCGGCACCAGTGCTGGTTTCATTTGTAAATCATCTTGTGGGTCCTCCTTCATCCTAGTCGCCTGCTCGACTACAAACTCGCTTTTCTGATTTTTAGATTTGGAAACTGACAAAAATAAAGATAAAGATTTATTTGCTTCAAAAAAGTGCATGCAAAATTATAGTAAGGAGAGATCTTAAAAGGCTCTGGGGGATTAAAATCAGTTCTTCCTCTTAAGATTTCCTTCAGATGGAGCTCATGGTGTTTTTGTGGTGTACCTACGGTATCATTAGGCGGATTTTTGTCTTAATATCGACCATTAGGGGTTTTTACATACTTTGTATGAAAGATTGTGGATAAGCTGATGATGGCAGCCGCATTTAAAAAGAAAGTCCGAAGAATCAAACGGATAACTTCTGAGCTTTGAGCTTTGTAAATAAGTCTTTTTCTTTTTTTTTTTTATGTTGTATTAAGCAGACCTTTTTTTGGTTCTAGGTTAGACTTTGTTGGAAAGTGTGATTATACCTTTTTTTTTTTTTCCGGAGTATGTAAGATATTGTTTTTGAAGCCTTTAATTTTCCTGAGGTTAAGATTTTATTTGTCGTCCTATGGACTAGCATTTCAGTGCATCAAATATGTTGGTTGTTTGGTCTGTAGATAGTCTTGCTTTGTTGAAAAAAAAAAAGTATTAAAGTATAGACATTTTTTTTTAATATATATAAACATTATAGATATATATTTATGTGGTAAAGAATGGATATAAACCACAGTTTGAAAATACTTTGATTTCTTTCATACTCATATATATGTAATGCATATAACCTGTCTTTAAAATCGTAAAAAGGTGTATATTGCTTTATAGTGTTTGGGGAAGGACAGTGAAGCAGTTGCAATAACATCGACAAAAACATTTAAAAAAAAAGAAATTGGCTGCTAAATTTTCTAAAACAAGATCATCATGACCAAACGTCTAGATGCACTGATTACTGCACCTGCATCCTGGTTGGTGTTTCAGCCAGTTACTAGTCATGCTTCCCCCCTCGAACGAGCAGTATGCTATGCATTATAGAGTTCTTTGCAACTGCTTTTTTTCTTTATCTATTTCCTCCTTTTGTTGTTACTTGTAAAAGTTAAACTTTAAGTCAAGATGAGTTGTGATACTTGCTGCTGTGGGGGAGACGGGGAGCACATTTTTCACGCCCGACTTACTACCGTTAATCTTTTTTCATTTAGAAACCTTTTGATGATGGTTTGGTCTTTGCGAATTTTGCTGATGGTCCGGCGTGAAAAACCGCTCCCTCCAAACCCCGTCTATCTCACTACTTAATGGGATTATTTATTTGAAGTTGTATAGTCGAACTTGGTTTACAGCATTTTTGGATAGGAATATCTTTTGACTATTTAAGAGGATGTACATGTTCTTTACTTTGTGTTTGGATACTTTGGATTTTTTTCAATGTTCAGTACATCAATAAATAAGTTTGAAGGGCAAAGCATTGCTTGAGATCTTTTTTTTTTTTTTGCAGCCAAAAATAAAATGCTATTCTTTAGATTTCAATTGGTGATTTCCATTCCACTTGATGCCTACAATAAATCCAGGATTCTTATAAAGTTTCTGTTTGGGAATTTTAAGCATTAAGCAGCTGTTTAGGTCAGTCAGATGAACTGATTCTCCTGGAGTTGAAAATGGGATACAATATATTGGTGGTTAGTTATTCCACCTCCATATGTTGCCTAAAGTTTTGTTTAAATCCAAATTATGAACTTTATGGCTTCTGATCACATCCATGACCTCAGGTGAAAACCTCAGGATGTTTCTAAAATCAGTAGTGGAAATAATGGGTAAGTCACAAGACCTGTGACGTACACCCATCGAGCAATCTGTTCAAAAATTCATTTTTCTCAACCTAATCGTCAACACTTTAAGCAGAGAGATTCCTTTGCTTCTCTCAGCATTTTTTCTCTTGTTTTTGTGCAAACTTTACATTTAAGTCCTCTTTACAGTCTGCAACTTTATAGTGAACTCTAATACTTTTACAAATGTAAAGTAGTACATTTTACATTTGCATTAAAAATGTAAAATGTAGTACCAGCAGGGTTGTTGAAACTCTGTTTTGACATCTCTTTACTGTAGAAACTGATTCATGTCTTCCAGCTGGATAGACTTGGGCTTTGGTATCTTTGGAGTTCTTCTTAAACCTGCTAAAATGCTTCCTTTCTTCAGACTGGCAGTTTGCATCTTCTTCCAGACCTGGACAAGGTGGTGATGAATCTTTCAAACCTTTCAGTAACTAAAAGTTATTTGAACTGATTTGGTAGTTTGGAAATGTCTCCAAAATCTGCAGTTTCTCAGTTCATTTCCACTGCTTGTTTGGGTCGCCCGATGATTGCTGCTGAGCAACTTTTCCAACTGTAACTCTTTTCCATAAATGCATGTCCAGAGTTTAGATGATCAATCACACAGGACATGATGGTGATTGTAATTACTGTGTAGCAGGTGATGAGATGGTTCACACCCTATTCCAAAGCAACCATAATGGATAATTGGACCTCAGTTCAGGTAGAAGCCCTGGAAAAATCAATATTCTACATTTCATTAAAGTGCTCACTTTTCAGCTTATGGTTGCTGAAGATGAAATGGATTTTAAGGAGAGCTTCCCCACTCATGCCAGGAACAGTTTTACTGAAAACGGTATTAGTGGAACGCGCATGCAGCCTTTATAGGTTTGTTTAGAGACGGGAGGAAGATGTCGCACTGTGACATGAGAGGAAGAGTTCGTTACACTGTGAGCTGCTCCAGTCTTTCTGTATTTAACTTTCACTTCTGAATCTGAAAAAAGGTTTCTGTAATATCAGCACTTTCTGTAGATTTTAAGCCCATAAGTACTGGTATTGGAAGTGAAGGGCTGCTGGTTTAGTTTGTGATGATTTTGGAGATGAGTGATGGTACATTTGGCTCTTGGATCACCTCTTAGATCGGCAGATGTTTGAGCTGTATAAAATGATTACACTCTGCTGGCTAAAGTAAGATTAGCCTTAGCGGTCGAGAGCTGTCACCGAATAGCTGCCGTAAGCTGATCTTTTTAGCTATTGATGACAAATTCTGTTTCTGCTTCAGCAGGGCCAAAGCAAATGTTTTGACAAGTTCTTGGAAAGTAGTGCTTTACTCTGACCTCACAAAGAAACATTTCTGAGTTTTTACTTAACAGGGCAAAGCAAATGTCTTCCAGATCTAACTGTTCCAACAAAATGTTTCCAAACAATAGAAATATTTCAAAGATGAAATATCACTTTTTATAACCAGGAGTCCTGAAAATTAGACGAATATAAAATAAAGCCAATGAGGCATTTAAAAATCCACTTTTTTGTCAATATTAGGAACTCTGCTTCGCTGAAATAGAATGGTACAACCTTGAAATAAAAGTTAGGTTTAGGAAAGTAAAATTTAAATATACTTATTGCAGTGGGAATAGTACAAGATAAAATATCCAGTCATCTTTTTCTTTTTTTTTTCTTTTCTTTTTTTCCATGTAAAATACTATGCAAAGCATCCTCATGTCTTAATGCTAGAGCCTCCATGTTTCGTATTACAGTGCCTTAAATTTATTCTTTGGGGACACTTCTCTGGTTTCTGTTGATCTAGTTGAGAATTTAGTTTTTCATGCTTCATTATTATGCATTTTAAATCAGTTTAAAAATACTCATTTAAAAAAGCCTGAAAAAAAAACATTGTTTCTAGAGTCGTGTGCACAGCCACCTAACAGCTTCTGTTTAGATCCTGGGAGAGCTTCTCAAACATCAGCTCTTCTTCCACTCGATACAAAGTAAATTTGAATTTATAAAGCTGTAATCACTTTGTAATTCTTAACAAGGCTTTAATGATGATCGGTTTGTATCAACAGGAAATGGTTTTCTCACTTGTATAATACATACCGTGCAAAGGTTTGGTAAGTCTTAATAATCCTTTCATGCTGTTTTCAAAATGGCATACAACAGCATCAGATTTAGACTTGATGTACACTTTTTTTCTTACAAGTAAAAATCTGAAAATTGTGGCGTATTTTTCCATGCAACATCACTAATTTGTCACTTTCTAAAAACACCAAGTCTTTTTAGTCGAAACCTTTTCGTTTCTAGGGCTGTCGGTTGTCCTGGTCTTTCAATCTGAAGTCTTCCTCAGACCGTAACACGTTTTCTTTCAGGATTATCTCCCTTTGTCTGCTGAAGATGTTCAATCAGTTCACCACTATGTTTCACTTTGGGGTTGGTGTTTTTTCCACCATGCATAAAGTGGATGTAGGCCAGAAAATCCAGGTGTCCATCTCTCTCACTTGATTTTTGACAATTACCACTGAAACATCTTATGCTTTTCCTTCAGCAATGGCTTTCTTCTTGCCACACTTCCATAAAGGACAAAATTATGGAAAAAAACTGAGCGGTATGAATAAATATTCTTGCAGAATGCTGTCACCAACAGCTTCTGATTTCTTTTACACCCAACCCTGAGGCTAATTCTTCTGGGAAGAAATGTGTTTATAGCTGTTTTATGACGGCTTGTTACCTCCTGGTTGGATTTATGAAGCTATAAAAAACCCCTTGTCCTGTTTGTCCTTTATGTAAAGCTGTAAAGTGATGCAGCTTTGACCTGCAGCTCCCACATGGCTCCTTACATGAAGATTTTGAGCCTAGGCTCTGTGTCCTCGATATGTTTTCTGGGTCTGCCCTTCTGCTGAAGCCCAGCGTAGTGTAACGTGATGGGACTGGGGATAAATAAAAGATGTTTGTCCAGAGCTGCCGATGTCAGCAGAGTCGTGCATAAACACATCTGCATACGGTCTGTCTGCTGTGATTTATAACCCAAAGTGGGTTCTGCTGGGCTCATTTATTATCCGAACCTCGCTCTTGTGCAGATTCTCCAGCATTATAAAGGGTTTTCCTCTGTGTATGCTGTGAGCTTATATGTATTGGCAGTTGAAGAAAACAGGATTTTAATTGTGGATTATCATGCATTTAGATAAACATTGGCTTGACATACATTCAAACATGCATGCAATGTTTGTTTTACAGCTACACATCTCTCATAAAATGTCACTGTTTCTCCAGCCAGTCTGTCCTGCCTGCATACTCCTCCAGCTCTTGAATCCATCGCCGTTTTGGGTTGTTGACCCCAGGTGATTACACTCCTCCACCTTCTATACATCTGCTGTTTGCAGCTTCATTCTGTCTGTTGCTTCTGTTGAGTTTAATTCTTCTTTTTCAGAGGACATCCGAGGACGTTTTCTTTTTGTTTGAAAGAGAAAACCCTAGAACTCATAGAGGGTGAACTTTCTCTTTTTACAATGCCTGGCTCTTAATATGAATTACTGGAACAAATTACCTTAATTCAGATATTCAGATTTATCAGTTTCCAGTTTCTCCTACATTACAAACACTGGAAAACTCAGTTTTGCTTTGACCCACATGGTTGGAGCACCTTTTTTTATTCCTTTGTCCTCCGTTGATTTACTGCTGTTCACCCTTTGTCTTTCATCCCCAGATGAAACCCTCTTGAAGCTGTTAAATGAAAAGGCCTCGAAGCTGATTGAGGTGGAGTGGATGAGTACTTTAATGGCCCCGGTGTCACAGATAAATACAAGCGCCTTCTCCACATGTGAGGTTGCTTCATTAAGCACGTCCAAGCCTTTAGAAGGGTTCCTGATGTCTGATCTATCGCTTATATAAGAAGATAAGTGATGATCAGTGACCTCTGCTTAAATTCAAATCAGTGATCTTTAAAGTTTAAAATGTTCAATACATAGCTACTGTAACCTGTAGAAAAGTGCTATAAAATATGGTGATGCCAGCATTATATTTTTAACATGCTTCCTAATGGGCTGAGAAACTGAAACGGTTTAGATCAAAGCATAACAATGTCTTAAAAACGTAAAGCTGTCCTGCTCTTCTTAAGTATAAATGCCTCTTGAGCATTTTTACATGCTATAACCACAAACTTAAAAGTATTTTATAAAGTTTATTTGTAATTGACTAACAAAAAGCAGTGCATCAAAATTACAAAGTATTGTTTTCAGACCTCTCTACTGTAAAACAGAATGCTGTCCTGGCTACGCAACTAAACTTACAGAAGAAAAACATTATTCAGAGAATCAGCTAATATTCTGTATATATTTAATATTCTATTCGTCTCATAGAAGAGTAGAATATTGGGGCGACTGTAGCTCTATGAGTAAAGTAGACTAGTCGTCTTATGTTTGGAAGGTTGGTAGATTCGATTCCAGCTTCCTCCAGCCACATGTTGATGTGCCCCTGAGCAAGGCAGTTCAGTTCACTTAAAAGTGCAACTTTTCTTGCCAGTCATCACGCACTGATTTACAAATACCAAACTTTTGCTTCTCGATGATTGTGGTTTACCAAACGTTCAGTGTCTTAGAAAGTGAATCATTAGTGAAACTTTTGGGGTCACAACCTAATCAAAACATCTGCTCAGGTTTCCTGA